GGGGGGGGGGGGTGCAGAAATTTCCCCAAGTTTTTCATTTCTTCCCTTTGTATATTTTGATTCTCTGCAGGACTTTTAAAACATTCTTATATAATCCTATCTATCTATCCTTCACATTATGGCTTCTTGGTTTCTGAAGGATTCACCTTCTCTCAACATTTTTCTTCTCTCATGATTTTGTTTATTTTCAGGATTGCTCTTTTCTTTTTTTTCTTTTTTATTGAATTTATTGGAGTGACATTGGTTAATAAAATTATATAGGTTTCAGGTGTACAATTCTAGAATACATCATCTGAATATTGTACTGTGTGTTCACCACCCCAAGTTGTTCTTTTCTTTTGTAATGTTCCAATTTTCTTTGACATGAAAATTGTTTTGGAATAAAGACTAAAATAAGAGTCCACTCTTTTCCCCTCAGCCACCTAGTCATTCCAAAACTACTTATTAAATAATTCATCTCCCCCTTATTTACACAAAATACCATCTTTTATGAAAAGTTTCCCTGTCAACTCCTGCTTTAAAAAGTACAGAATCGACTGTCAGAGTAAGTTGTTGGCATTGAGATGCTATTTGCTCAGAGCCCCTTGGCATTGAAATGCTGTTTGCTCAGAGCCCTTTCGGAGCAGTCCCACCCCTGCTCCCTCTGCCAGGAAAGTCAGAGGTTTTCAGGGGTGTTCCTTTTGAAATTTTTGCCACTCCTTTTTCCCTTTCCCCAGTTTCTGCTACACTTTCACATCCTCATATTCTAGAATTCAGCTATTTCCCAACTGACAGAACAGTGTCATAGGTAACACATGATATGTGTAGTTTACATTATCTGTGACTTCTTTGCTTGATACAAAAAGTCATATTTCACTAAAGAATATATTATTTACCTCACAAATTGGAGCTTGCTGCCTTAGAAAAAGCTTTGAGACTTGACTCATTCCCAGTCCAAAAAATGCTTAATGTCGCCACAAGAGGTCACTCTTGGGTAGTTTTTGAAGCTTGATTGGGTTGACAGCTAAGAGCAAATAAACCTTAGAAGGAAACACACCTGCCACTGTTGAGATAGTCAATATTAACCAAAACTGGCACAAGAAGTTGGTGAAACTACGTAATTCAGATTTAATTTTTATTGGTTTTCTATTGGAAAGAATGTAAACGTGTCCTGAAGAAATGGAAATCAAACTATGTACTATTTTCCTTCTAGCTTTTTCTTCTTAAGATTTCTGTGTGATACATTGTCTCAACATTATTAGTTAGGATTATATATTACGTCTCAGTTATATACATGCAAAGGAAGAGTTGTAGACTATTTAGGAATAGGAATGTTCTGTCAACCCAGGGGGATTTTTGCATGGGTATTTTCCTTTATTTCCTGCTTCTGGCATTAACATTGGGTACCTGAAGTGATTGGGGTTCCCCACTCATGTCCCATGCTTAACCCCACCCCCACAAAGCCACATAGCTCAGTTTCTTTTCCACCCCACCTCTGGGCCCCCCTGCTGGTCTGCTTGGTCACAGTAGATGAGTGGGATCACCTGGTAGAGGTGTGCCTGCAGGTTATACTTGGACTTCACAACTGCGCACACATGGAACTTAGGCCACATTGGTGGTGGCTGTGGCCCAGAGCCCTGCCATGCTGAAATCTTCCTGGTCCTTACAAATAAACCAATGCTGTAATATACATACACATTGTATATAAGGTGTTCAAGAGTCTTTTCTTGGGAAAATCTGTCTTGTTTTCTGAGAAACTAGCTTTCTTGAATTAGAGCTTAAATGGCTTCTCCTTTATGAAACTGGCATATAGATAGTAGATGTGTTTTAAGGTGATTATGAGGCAAAATTTTTGTCAGTATTCAAAATTATTATTATTATTTTTTGCTCAGTTCCTTAAGTTGGGAAACCAGTGATAAATAGATTTAGAAATGAAGGGTGGAGCTAGAGCAGCTTGGTTTTGGTTGGAGGCGGAAGGATGCATATTTTGGTGGTAGGAAGAACATTGACCTCATAGTAACACTTCCCTTTGCTTCATGGACTTTGGAGATCTGAAGTTGGTGTCTTCTCTTAGCACATCTAACAGCCTTTGTCTTTAACTGGAAAATTCGGTCCTTTTTTTGTTACGATTACTGACATTTTGATTTGTGACCACCATCTTTTGTGCTTTAAAGCTGTTGTCCAGTGTAGTTTTTTCTTTTCCACAAGTTAGATATTATCATTGTGGTTTTATGTAATCAACATTTATTTACATTTGTCCACATACTGCCTGACGTCTTTGCTTGCCTTTCTCCACCCCCTCTCCCCACAGCATCCCAATGCATCTCTTATCATTTCCCTTTTCCTTGGAGTGCCTACCCAAAGTATCACTTTGAATTAAATTCTCCACTTGGGGGTGTTCATCATACACAATGTAGGGGTTTGGACGAATAACCCTCAGGAGCACCTACATGTAGTTTGCAGCTCTTGAGAGAGAACTAACCCCCTCCACTAAGCATGGAGCTTGCTGCAGACACATGTGCCCCTGCCCCGCCTGGGCAGCAGACTTACTTTTCACTCACTGTTCTGAAGAGCGAGCCTTCAGCATCCCTGTTACACTCTGGTCCCAGCTGGGCCCAGCTTCCTCCCATCCCCCAGATCTCCACCATCATGTAAGGCCCTTGGAAACCCTCAGGGCAAGAACTTAGCTGCATACCAGCTTCTACTTTTACACCCTGCCTCTGAAGATCCCTGCTGCTCCTGCAGCTCAGTGATGCGTTTATAAAGATATTTCCCTTTGTCACCGAGCATTGCAGCTGTTTCCATCATGGAGTAAAGGTGGCCTTGCCTTAGGTTCATTTATGTTCCTTGCTTGAGGCAACTGATGTCCCTGCTAATTTCAGTATAGAAAAAATATTACGATCTGAAACAGTTGGCTGTAGTCTTTGACCAAGTTGGAAGCTGGTAAAATACTGGCCAAATAAGTTATACACAGACTTACCATGTGACCCAGCAATTCTTCCCCTACGTATGTACCCAAAAGACTTGAAAGCAGGGATTCAAACATACTTGTGTGCCACCATTCATAGCAGCACAGTTCACAAGAGCCAAAAGGCGAAAGCAACCCAAGTGCCCATCAGCACATGAGTAGATAGTCAGAATGTGCTATATCCTTACAATGGAATATTATTCATCCATAAAAAAGAATAAAATACTGACACATGCTACAATATGGACAAACCTAGTAAACATCATGCTACGTGAAAGAAGCCAGCTATAAAAGGCCACACGTTGTATGATTCCATTCCTATGAAAATTTCCGAATAGGTAAATGCATAGAGATAAAGTAGGTTCATAGTTGCCAGGGCCAGGACCTGGGGCTGGGGGGAGTGGGGAGTCACAGCTTAATGGGTACAGGGTTTCCTTTTGGGGTGATGAACATGGTCTGTAAGTTAGAGGTGGTGGTTGTATAATAGGATGTGTGCATTTAATGCCACTGAATTGTATACTTTAAAATGGTTAAATTGATAAATTCAATTTTATATGTATTTTACCACAATTAAAAAATTCTGGTCATTGAACATTCTCAGAAACAGGCAAGGGAATCCTGGGGCATAGAGACTTGCCTACTCTGTCCTTGATCAGAGCACCCATGAGCACCATTCCTGGTTGCCATCTGCCATCTGAGGATAGTGCAGTGAACAGGATCAGGACTTTACCAATTTACGGAGCTAGGGTCCTCCATTCACTGCATACTAGATTGGGGTGGGGGGGGTGAGTGTATGTGTATTCTTCCATCAGTAGTATTTTTTCAACTGAATTGCATAATGATTGTTACTCTAAAAACTAAAATAGTAAAATCTTATTTCATGTCACATTATATCTATGGCATTATTTTGTGGTCAGTTTTCATCATTTAAGCCCACTTTTCCTGGGAAAAATCCAGAATGTCCCGGGCTTACTGATAGCCTGGGCCTGTCACCTTCTCTTTCTGTGACCAGCTCAGCCCTTTCTGAGCTGATGGCTTTTAAGCATTCTCAGTTGATGGGCAGAGAAGCCAGACCCATGATTTACAGTCTCCCAAGGCCTCGAGTGTAGTGGAGCCCATTTTCCTAAGCCTGTGTGTTCCATGGCTGCATAAACCAGGACTTTGTCCCCACCAGCTGCACCCAATGTGCAAATGGCAGTTTCCAAGTAACTTGCTTTAACTTGTGCCTGTGATTTTATTTTATTTTTAAATGTTTTTATTGATTTTTAGAGAGAGGAAAAGGAGAGGAAGAGAGAGAAACATTAATGAGAGTTATTGATCTGCTGCCTCCTGCATGCCCCCTACTGGGGATTAAGCCCACAACCTGGGCATGTGCCCTGATCAGGAATCGAACCGGCAACCATGGTGCATGGGACAACACTCAGCCAACTGAGCCACACTGGCCAAGACTGTGCCTGTGATTTTAAACATTACCATGTAACACTAACAAATTGAATATCAGTTTCTTATCCAGTAGTTTTATCCAGTGATCAGGCACCCTGACATTCATCACCAGCTGCCACAAATGCAGGGCCACGTCACTAGCACATTTCTCCCAGCGGTTGCTCAGGCATATCCCAGACCAGGCGTGGCCTTACCAGTGAGACCTGATTCTCTCATTGTCTCGAGTGTGGTTGGTTACTATATTCCTAACATACAACTTGAACATATTTAACAAGCCCTTTTGTGTCTGCTCAGGGTCACGTCGATAGCGGACAGGTTGAATGTGGAATTTGCCTTGATTCACAAAGAGAGGAAGAAGGCGAATGAAGTGGACCGCATGGTCCTGGTGGGCGACGTGAAGAACCGTGTAGCCATCCTTGTGGATGACATGGCTGACACGTGTGGTACCATCTGCCATGCTGCCGACAAGTACGAGGGACAGTTTGGGAAAGTGTTAGGATATCATTAAGAAGGGGAAAATGTCAGCATTTAAAAACGGGGCCTATTTTTCCTCATTATTGCTGTTTGCTTAGCAGTTGCTTTTCAGACCAAAGGCGGTTGTAGCCCATTTATTTTTCCTTGGTAGGAAGAAAACCATGGTCCTTTATGGCCTGATTGTCATTTTCAAGGTTGAACTGTCAGTGGATTTTATAAAGGGTCCAAGGAAGAGTGCTCCCTGAAACTGAGCACAGAAGGGAAGGGACCATCTTGCGGGCTTCCTTCTGTTCGGCCTTCATTCCAGCCTTCAAAGACAGTATAAAACAAAGAACATAAAAATCTATCAATGATTTTTTTCTATTGATATGTCAGAATGATTGTCTTCTGGCTGTTTTGGTTTAAAGCAGTGGCTCTCAACCAAGGGCAGCTTTGCTTCCTGGGGGGACATTGGACAGTATTTGGAGACATTTTGGGTCATCACAGCTGAGGGGAGGGAGGAATTGCCACAGCACAATAAAGAATCCCCTGCGCCCGGGGCCAAAGTCAGTGGTCCTGGATTTAATGGCGTACAGAGTATGCTGGCAGCTCGTACCTTAAAGATCCTGGTTTTGGCTAATGAACGTGAGTGGAATTGGCTTCGTGTTTTCCTTTTAAATTCACACTAAGAGGAGACTGATTTGTTTTTGTTTTCTCTTCTGTTTTACAGGCTTATCTCAGCCGGAGCCACCAAAGTTTATGCTATCCTTACCCATGGGATCTTCTCTGGGCCAGCTATTTCCAGGATAAATAGTGCCTCCTTTGAGGCTGTTGTTGTCACAAACACAATTCCACAAGAAGACAAAATGATTCACTGCTCCAAGATCCAGGTACCGTCTACACTCCAGGCAGAGCCAAGCAGTGAGGCTTTTATGTTTTTAATTAAATATCACTAAGATGCCTCACTTTCCTCACGCCTTTTCTATTTTCTGGCGTTTAGGTGATTGACATTTCGATGATCTTGGCCGAGGCGATCCGCAGGACCCACAACGGTGAATCCGTGTCTTACCTGTTCAGCCACGTCCCACTGTAAACCCAGGATCCCGGTGCGGAGCAAGCCTGCTGGCTTCTGACTAGTGTGTTTTTATCTGATTTTTTAGCTTTAGGACTCAGTAATTAGAATGCAAAAGCATCAGATCTTTGTATCCTCCAAGATCCACTGTTTCCCCCTTCTATAGCTCGAGTCCATTTATTTCCAGTTTGCGGGGAGGGTGGTGGTTATTTAATCTGTGAACTGTTATAAGTCAGAAATAGTTTTGTCATCTTTACCGGTTCTGATAGGTGACTTTGTCCTTTGTCCTGTCAGTATTTTGAGGCTACTACTTTCAAGTATATAATTCCAATGTGGAAGTTCCTAATTTATATATTTCAGGGTTGCCAAAGGTGACTTTAGGATAAAGACTTCTATGTAGATATATAATGATAATGCCTATGGACATTTGGGTAAAACCTTGTATAGATTGAGCCCTTCTAAGAAAACTTTAGAAAATTAATAATACCATGATATATATATATATTTTTGGTTATTGTACTTAATTTTTTTTTTAATCCTAACCCAATATTTTTTCCATTGATTTTTTTTAGAGAGACTGGAAGGGAGGGAGGGTAGAGGGAGAGAGAGAAATATCACCGTGAGAGACACATCGATTGGTTGCCTCCCACACGCGCCCCAACCAGGGCCAGGGATTGAACCCAAGACCCTTTGGTCCTCAGGCTGATGCTCTAACCACTGAGCAAAACTGGTTAGGGCTGTGCTTAATTTGGACCAAATTTTATGTAGTTTAAGATGGCCACTCACACATTTTTGGGTAAACAGTAGACATATTAGATGCCATATAGTTCAGTATTTTTTTATTACCACTTCTGAAAAACTTTATAACTATCACTTCCATGAAATATCATGTTCTAAAATTCCAAAATGATGTTCAGTGATAGATCTGATTTAGAAACTGTTTTGTAGATCAAGTCTCTGCTCACTGTCATATTCATGCTTGCCCCTGTCCATCCCAGATGGACAGTTCGTAGGGCACTTTTTGTCCCGTCTCCTTGGTTTAGCTCTAGCTTTTATTTTGCCTTTTTTCCAGTAATTTTATGTTGGGGATTTCCACCAAAATGAAACTTCTAAGTCCCTCAAATTGACTAATCTGATCATAATTTTGCTTTTCACGTAAATAAAAAAGTGGATTTTGGTGAGTTAACACCAAATGCATATTTAAACATCATTTAGCTTTGAGCTTTAATGTTCTTTTGCTTTTTGTAATCAGAAGTAGCAAGTCTAGGCAACTGATTTTTTCAGCTAAAGCCACTACATGAAAAATGTGGTTAAGAAAGGCCTACAAAAAAAGTGCAAATAATTAAGCATTAGCTGCTTCATTAAAATAATATTCAAATAGGGGCCCCAGAGTGATCATGGAGGGAAGACTGCTTTCTCCACCCTTGATAGCACCCTCCCGTGTGAGGTGCCTCCCTGACTATGGCAGAGGGCATGCCTTAATTCTTTGTGAATTTTATTATATGCACCTTGGTGCGCAATCAACTGAATTCTTCAGCCCGAGAAGAGGAGAATTTGCCTGCATAGAATAATCAGCAATATCTCTCCCTTCTGCTGAATCTTAAAACTTGAAGGTCAGAATAAATTCCTTAAATTCTGCAGGTGCAAAAGTAAAATCTATTGAAGTCATTAATGAATAGGACAGTGTTGAAGGTCTCAAGCTTCACTACAGCAGAGGTGGAATGGAAGTTAAAAAGTGTCACTTGGTCATTGTAGAAATGAGCATTTTGTTGTACCTTAAAATGGTTTTGGAGATAAAATGATATGGCCTGGTCAAACCAGCTATGCAATACAGATTGACTTGTATCTAAAAAGAGCTGACTTGAGATATGTAAAGAGTTTATTTAGATGGTATGTAATTTTAATTTTTGATAAATGAGTGATACCTGTATTTCTTGGAATTTCTATGCATAGAGAAATGGAAATGTAGTTTTGAACACACATAGACAGCTTGGCATACAAGTGTAGACACACTGACATGACTAAAACGAATTGATTTAAAAGAGATCATTTCATCTAACATTTATAGTAAAATAGAGATGATTTTAAAATAATGATCTAAAGATAAAAAATGACAGAAAATCTATTGTAATGCTCTGAATTAAGAACTGATTGTTACATTACTTAGCACCACATGTGTTGTTTTTAAAGTACTTCTAATACGTTGATTAACTTATTAGACTAGACTCAGCCAGACACAGTGGCGGTGTGGACCTGAGCTATTTGGTTTCAGTTCAACGAAGATGAGGAAGACAGTGTCTGAGCAGCTTCATCCCACACCTCGAGCTTTATTGCTGCTGGTGTGGAAACATTTAAGCAAAACCACTGAAGATGTTGGTCCTGTCCAGTTCTGCTGAATGGAAGCAGACTTGGTGTACATCTAGCCAAAAAGGGAGCCAGAGAAATGTGAACATACCAAAAGCACTCAGCCTCCAAATTAATTTATACTAATCAACTTACAGATATTCAGATGATAACTGTTCTTTTTTAGGAAAGATGTCAACTAGATTCAGGAATGTGTCACTTACAGTGCTTGTATTGGTTTAGAATATAAGATTTTAAGATCTTCCAACACTGTACTAAAACATTTCAATAAAGTCATACTACTTCTTTCTTTTGTAGTGCGTGTCATCATTGTGGAGTAGTGTGTTTTGATGGAGTGATGTGTTTTGTGGGGTACCTGAAAGTGTGTGCTACTCCCCGACTATAGCCCGCCATAGAAAATCACAGAAAAGCCAGAAGTTTTCTGAAGTCAGCTCTTCTCCATTTGGAAGGTATTTCTGATGGACTAATTAGCAGTCTCCTTGCCCCGAAGCATAACAGCTGTGCCTCAGAAGGCATCCAAGTTGATCATTCTAGATGTTTCTGTAAAATTGAAGATCACACAGCGTTTACCCAGCAAAGCAGTACTGTTCATTGTCCAGAGGTGGAGCAGCCCAAATTTAAGTGTAGGCCCCGTACAAGTTCTTCACGTGTGTTCATTTCACAAGTGCCAAGAGTTTCCTCCCAAAAAACAACTACCTATTCAGTGATGTTTTAAGTTACCCTTGTGGGGACAAAGTACATTTATCATTATGTTTGTCCAGGCATGCTCATCTTTAAAGTGTGGATAACTGAGAGTGGCAGCCTTTTGTCTTAAAGTCCCAGTGAAATATAAAGAGCTAAAACCAGGTCTGTCGGGGAAGATCTGTTTAAGAGAGAGTGTGATAGAGCCCTGGGCGGTGTTGCCCAGTGGCTAGAGCCTCCCGCTTCACTGGTTATCCTCGCTCAAACGTACTACATACTAAACACCTTGTGCTGTCCTGTTTCAGTCCTTGCTGGAATAGAGCCATCTGGCTCTGGAAAATTCTGCCCTGAAGTACCACCAGTAAGCAGTCCCTTCACAAAGCCCTTTCTGATTGATCCTCTGAACCTCTGTGTCATCTTTCCCAGACACTTAGCCTGTCCATCCTGTAGCTCGGCTGGATTTGGTAAGACCTGTCACATGAAACAAAACACCCCCAAAGTGGTGTGACAGCATTATTAGGTGGAATTGAAGTGCTTTTGGTGTTGCCACCATTCCCTTCTAGTACATTCTATCACATTCTTTCTCTTTTTTCATTTGAGGATATATTTTCCATTGACTTTTAGAGAGAGTGGAAGGGATGGAGGGAGTGAGAGAGAGAGAAACATCGATGTGAGAGAGAGACAGCCATTGGCTGCTGCCTGCACAGCCCAGTGGGGCCGGGGATCCAGCCTGCATCCCAGGTACGTGCCCTTGACTGGGAATCAAACCTGAGAGCCTTCAGTGCCAGCTGCAACAAAAACACGTTACATGACATGCCCCACAATGTGCCAACAATCTGGGGCACCTCAGTTCTTTTTAAGTCCCTTGTCAAGTAACTAAAACCTGAAGAGCTGTAGTCAAAAATAAAAGGAAAAAAGCGAGACACTTTTGAAAAATGCATTCAAGACCTGACTTGATTGCCAGTCTTCACCACAGCTGCCTCTAGTGCCATAAGTGGTCTTTGAGACCCCAGGGGACTGTCCGGACAGGTGGCAGAGTGCCCGAATGTCCACTGATGGACATTGCCCTTCTGTGTGTTGGTTCTTACATCATTTTTAAGCAGCTTACTTTGGCTGTCCTTCAAACATTGAACTGTCTCTTCTTATACTCATATTTAATTGAGCTATAATATTACAATTAAAAACATAACTGGCATAAAAAGGTTCAGAAATAACTGAATCTTGGAAATCAACAGGCCGATGCAGAGGGCATATGTACTAGTACCCTACCGACCTGAGATGTTAAATAGGTCCTGAAGATCTGTCAACATTTTTTTTTTACAGAAGGAAAGGAGAATGCAGGTTAACCGATTGGATTTTAAATAGAGGTCAAGTCAAGAGAGCTTCCACTGTTCCTGTTGGTCTCAAGCTTGTCTGTCAATTGGAACCAATTCAGCAGTATTGAAAACTCCCAATACCCAAGCCTCACCCAAGAGTGGTTAAATCAGAATCTTTGAGTGCCGGACACCATGATGCCTTTCCAATGTGCCACCAAGGTTCAGAACTTCGGGTTTAGGTCATGGCCACAAAGCTCTCAAGGTCTGCTGTCCCCCTCCCAACATGTAAGTATATACATTTAGAAAGCAAAAGAGTGCCCTGGCCAGTGTGGCTCAGTTGATTGGAACATCACCCCCTACACCATAAGGTGGTAAGTTTGATTCCCAGTCATGGCACATACCCGGGTTGCAGATTTGATCCCTGCTCAGGAGGCAACTGATGAATGTTTCTCTCTCTCTCTTCTTTCTTCTCTCTGAAAATCAATAAAAAAATTTTTTAAAGTTTAGAAAGCAAAAGAGCAAAGAAAAGTATATACAGGAACAAAGTGTTACAGGGCAGTAAGGAGGCAGGAAAATTCCAGTGCAAGTGGAATAGGAAAACTGAGACAAAGTTAAAGCAAGGCCAGGCAGCCCAGGCAGTGTTGCTCAGTAGTTGAGATCAACCTATAATCCAGGAGGTCATGGTTCAATTCCCGGCTGCCCAGTAACACCTCTCTGGGGTCAGTGCCTTTAACAAAAGGACCATAATTAATTCCATAAATCAAAACAAGCGAGCACCTACATTTTGGAGAATTTAAAAACATTCTTCTTAGTTAGAATTCCTACATGTGGAATTGCTCCATTGGAGCAATGCCCATTTTAAATTCTGGTATATTTTAATTGCTCACCAGAAAGGTGGTATCAATTTGCCCTCCCACTCAAAGTCCCTAAATCCTGGCCAACACTGAATTGACAGTCTTTCCCCCTTTTTTCCAATCTGATAATTTTAAAATACTGAGATGTCATTTTATTTGCATTTCTGTAAGAACTTTATTTTATTGATTGCAAATATTTATTTTATAGGCTCTATTAGGTAATATAGTAATAGAAATATTATATAGGTATACCCAAACCTTGTTCATCTATCATCTATTACTGCAATAATATTTTAATCTTTTTCTTCAGT